CTCTTTTCATTATTGTATTACTTTTTATTACCAATAATAACAAATATGTATGTTTCCTTATCTTTCCAGGATTTCTTTGTTTGGAGTCTTGAACTATTTGTTTCATTTAATAAAAAATAAAAGAGACTAGATGGTATACTGAGAAAAAAACAATTGGTTTAGAAAGAGCTGTTATTTCATCTTGGCTGTCATTCATCTCACTGCAATATGGGGACAGTTACTTCACAGTTTATTGAAAATTGAATACTCCACTCTAGTATCCGGGAGAGGTCTGGTGGTATAGTGCCTAAGGAATTTGACTGCTAACCGGAAGGCTGATGGTTCAAACCCACCAGCCACTCCTCGGAAGGACAACTAGGCAGTCTACTTCCGAAGAGATACTTTGTCAGACACCCAAGGAGGGGTCGCTATGAGTTGGATTTGACTGGAGGGCAGTGAGTTTGGTTTGCTTTTTTTACTCTAGTATCAGAGTTACATACTTTAAGTGCACGTGGCTTGAAAAATTATCCAAAATTAGAATATACTATTGGCAGTTTATAAAATTATCATGAGAAATACAGCAATATATATATTTTTTAACTAGATGGAATAGTAACAATCTAGCTCTTACACTTGAAGCTTCAAGGGCTAATTTGTTGCCACCAAGTTGATTCCCACTCATGGTGACCCCGTATGTACAGAGTAGAACTAACTGCTCCATAGGGTTGTCAAAGTTGAGACTTTCAGAAGCAGACCTCTAGGCCTGTCTTTTGAGGCATCTTTAGTTAGGTTCCAACCGCCAGCCTTTTGGCTAGTAATTTAGCATTTAACTGTTTTTGCCACCCAAGGACTCCCCTTTAAGTCTACTAGATACTGTCAAATTTTTCTCCAAGTGCCTGTATAAACTTACATTCTCTCAGTTATTTTTGTAATTATTATTTATTTTATATGAATTATTTCCATAAAGTTTTTATCTTTTGTCATTTACTGTCACTAATAGTCTCACTATGTTTTTTTAGCTTTGGTAGCATAGTGCCTCAGGCACTTGACTACTAACCAGAAGGCTGGTGGTTCAAACCCACCAGCCACACCTTGGAAGGAAGGTTGGGTAATCTACTTCTGTAGTGATACTGCCTCGGAAACCCAAGGAGGGGTTGCTGTGTGTCAGGGCCGACTCGATGGCATATAACAACAACAACAATTTAAGAGTTGTTTCTAGGTAGTTGCTGATGTTTTGAGGTGTCATTATATGGCAGTCAGACTGATTGTACTAGCTACACAGAAATAAATTTTAATCAAGTAGTACTCTACAACGAAATTTCCATTTTGTCATAATTAATATTTTCAAATGCAATTATTGATATTGTTGAGCAGTTTACATGATAATAAAGTGATAGTATTGCCAACCGTGGAAACCCAGTGAGTTATTTAATGTCTTTCTAGTTTCTTAGTAAAATACTAAACATAGATCCATTGTTTAAAGCTTAAAATCATTCAAATAAGATAGTGAGATTGTTTATAGTTTCTGTTGTCATAATCAAGTCTCTTTCCATGACTAATTATATTATGACCCTTATCTTTTATGAAAGTGATTTAAACAAACTTGATATCATTTTTCTGTGGTGTGGTTTTAAATAGAATTTGACTTCTGATTTTAATTGGTGCATTTTCATCCTTTTTATAGCTTATGAGGACATTACATTCTCTGAATATTTAAAAACTCAAAAATTAACCTCCAACCTCCAATATTTTGTCCTGCATTCAATTGCAATGACATCAGAGGCAACCAGCACTACCATAGAAGGCCTCAAATCTACTAAACACTTTCTCCATTGTCTTGGGCGATACGGCAACACTCCATTTTTGTTTCCTTTATATGGCCAAGGAGAACTCCCTCAATGTTTCTGCAGGTAAGTTTGACATCGGTACTCTTGTCTCTTTTAAAGGTGATACTCAAATAAGAGGTGAAAATTAGAAAGTAACAAATGTGATACCTAGTCGAGATTTAGTATATGAAACATAGGCTTTGTCGTCCTACTTTTCTATAATCTGTTTATAGAAAAGTAGGATACCTTAGTGACTATCTACATAAATGATAACATTCAGTTTTGCCTGTTTTGAGCCTTTATAAAAATATACCAGAAAGCCAAACCCACTGACATCAAGTTGATTCTGACTCATAGAGATCCTGATTGGGTTTCCAAGGCTATAAATCTCTATGGAAGTAGATCATCTCATTTTCCTCCGGTGGAGCAGTTGGTGGGTTTGAACCATTGACCTTATGTTTAGCAGTCAAAAGCCTTACCAACTATGCCACTAGAGCCCCTTATAAAAATATAGACATACTGTAAATTCCTTTTTTCATTCAGTATTATGTTTCAAAGAGTCATCTTTATTTTATAATTATACCTTGTATATTATCATTGCTGTGTAGTGTTCTGTTACAGATACACCACATTTTTGATGGACACTTAGAATGTTTCCAGTTTTTTGCTATTATGAGCATCCTTGTGCATATTTCAGAACATACATGTTCAAGAGTTTCTCTAGGATACATATTTAGGAGTGGAATTTCTGAGTGAAAAGGTATATAATGTTCGACAACTTTACATGATAGTTCCTGATTGTTTCTTCAGAGGGTTGTATCAATTTATATCCCCCTAGCAGTAATAAGAGTTCCCATAGCTCTACATATATTCTGAATGCTAATCTTTTCTCAGTTATATATGTTACATTTGTCTTTCCTTGTTTGGTAACTTATCTATTCACTTGTCTTGGTATTTATGGTACATTGAGGTTATCAAATTAGTGTATTCAAATTTAACAATCTTTTCTTTTTATACATAGCCCTTTTTAGGGTAGTATAAACCCACTTCCATTGAGTAAATTCCAACTCGTAGAGATCCCCATTGGGTTTTCAAGGCTTTAAATCTTTATGGAAGTAGATTGCTTCATCTTCCCACAGAGCAGCTGGTGGGATTGAACCACTGGCCTTGTGGTTAGCAGCCAAATTGCCTTACTCATTATGCCACCAGAGCTATGGAGCCAGAGTACCTGGATTAAAATCCTGTTTTTTTACATTTACAAGCCTATAACCTTGGGCAAATTATACCACCTTCTATTACGTTTTTGGGAGCTCTGGTAGCATAGTGGCTAAGACACTTGCCTGCTAACCAGACGGCTGGCGGTTCAAACCCACCAGCCACTCCTCGGAAGGAA